AACTTGTACCAACGGGTTCTCCATTAGAACAGAAGCTGCACCCCCTCCTTCCTTGAGGAATTCGATAAAAACTCATCAAATAGTTCTGATGAATTGCATTAGGCGTCTAGAAAATTTCAAGTAAAAGAGAAGTAAGTGATCTATGCTTTAACAATAGATATCTTTCTTGAAAATGGTATTGTTTTCCCATATTGGAACCACATTTTTTCCCCCTATTTCATAGTAATTTAAGTCCTTTTAGCCATAAAATTTATTGTGAAGTCCTTTACTAACACACCGTCAATAAAAATTATTGCAAATTAAATGAAAATTGAATTAAAAAAATCATCAACTGAAATGTGGAAAAAAAAAATTTATACCAAAAATAGTGAAAAAAATAAAATTACTCTCTAAGTTATAAATATCGTTAAAATTGTTTTCATGTATATTTAACACTTGCTCTGATAAAAATATTTAATTAATAAAATATGCTTGAAAACTACATGTGTTTGATATTGTTAATAATCTTCAGTGTTTACAATCAATAAAAGATAAATTTAATATGTGGGGAATTTAAAAGAGTTCCAAGTATTAACAAAGCTTAAAATATAAAACTCAAGTATTGAAGTATAATATCTTTTCCAACAATTATTTTATATAAAAAAAAATATATATATGCTATAAAATTAAATATTTGAAATTTGTGTGTCTTTTGTAGCTAATAAATAATTTTCATATGGATAGAAATTTCTTAGTAGGATGTCTAGTTTCATCAATGTAGTTCATCCTCATGGAAGGAGAGAAGAGGGCAATGAATCCTTCTGCTGTGATGGTGCATCCGAAGATAAAAGACTTCTGCTCCGTGTCGCTGAAAATGGAGGGCAATGCTTTCAGATAGGACTTTTATGGGTACTACTCCGTTTTGCGTATCGCATGGAAAAAAAACCCGGGAAACACCCACCAGGTAGTCCGACTAATGAAGCAAAATGCTTAACACCACAAACGCCATCAAGTCTCCTGGTTTTTGAAACCGTGCCACAACAAAGCCTTCAGGGATTGAACTTCAGCCCTAATGCTCACCAGCAGCACAAGTTGCCACGAGTCAGGCATGGTCTAGTTTAGTGTATTAATAATTTAAAGCATAATTCTAGTATATTGAAGTTTTAAAATATATTAAATACTTAATTTGTAAAAAAAATTATATTAAATTAGTTAAATTAATTTTTTTTTCATGTGCGTTTGATTGCTAATAAACTTCAATTTTTATACGGACTAACAATTGTTACAATATTATCAAAATTAATATTATTTCCTAATATTAATAAAATTTGAGACTTTAATTAGAACTTAGTTTATCATAGTAAACTAACTAATTATATTCATCATAACGATATTACTTTACTAACAAGATAATTATCTATGTTTACTGAAGTAATTCTTTTATCTCCCTCTAACCACTTTATACTGTTTTTATCTTGCTTAAAGGCGTGTGAAATATGAATTTCCTAAATAAAATTTCATTTCATTAATAAATCACTTCGAATCAATTTTAAATTGAATTTTTTTTTTTTCTTAGTACAAAAATTTTTCTTTGTGTTCCATTAGTTAAAAAATATTATGCAAATAAATTTTTTTTACACATATATGAAGTTCTAAAACTGGATATCTTGATGTAAAGCCCATTCCCGTTTTTTTTTTTTTTATGTGGAATTTTGATTTAGTGTATTTGAAGTGTTTTCTCCAAGTAAGGCGTTGGTCAAAATAAATGTCCAACTATTTAGCGTTGTTTTTGCCAAGGAATAATAATGTCATTTGTTTAAATTTGAGGTTTATTAATTTTATTACCTACAGAGAAAAGAATTGTTTCAGTTTTTTCACCATTCATTGCAATTATCCAATTTTCAAACCAGTTATTAAGATCTTTTAGATGATTAGTAAATGTAATAGCAAGAATAATATTATCATTTTGCAAAGAATAGCCGTGTTCATCAGCACAAAATGCGATAAGAACTTTAGGGTTGGTCGGAATATCAGAGATGAAAACTGAGAGGAGGATTTATTTGCCTTGAAAAGTTCTTGCCATAATAAGTCTAAAAGTCAGTGAGTTATATTAATTTGAACAGTAAATTTTTATATCATTAAGATTGAATTGAAAAAATAAGTAAAATAAATGACTGAAATAAAAATAAGCTTATAAAATCCATTATTTAAGCAGTTAATCCAAATTTTATCGAATGCTTTCTGGATATCAAGGAAACCGTACTTGTGCATTGTTTATTTTGAAAGCCTTCTGTGCTATATTCTGTAGTACGTAACAATTGATTAGTGGGGGATAATTTTTTACAAAAACCAAATTGCTCAGAATTTAGAACGTTGTTGCCCAAGAAGAAAGAATTTATTTTATTGTAAATAATAGTTTAAGCAATGTTATTAAGAGAAGAGAGCTGAGAATCAGGGCGATAGTTTCAGGGTTGTAAGGGTATTTCCAAGTTTCAAAATAGATGCGGTTTTTGCTGCAATTTGTCGTGCAGATGGAAAATATTTATCTTATAAAATCTTATTGATGAGTTTGCAAAGAGAAAATAGTAATTGGAGGAAAGTGTTTGATCATCTTATTCGTAAACCGAGAGCTTTGCTGATTTTAATGTTTTTAATTATGTTCGCAATTTCCGACTGCATAGTTAGAGTGAAAGTATCGTCTTGATAATTTAAATGAAAATTCTGTATGGTGTAACTAACAGTACTGCTTATCTCAAAATTCTTAGAGTTATTTAATTCGAATTTGCAAGGACCTTAGCTTTAACTTTATCAAAGCTAGCCGTAGACATAGGACCATTTAGGAGGGTAATTTTAGTACGAATATTTTTAAGAGCTTTAGTGGACCCGACAAAAGACCCCTCTTCTAGCCGAAGTTCATTAATTTATCTTCCCAAACTTTGTCAGAATAGTTTTTAAAAGCAATTTTGATGTTCTTGTTCATGTGATTAAGAAGTTTTATGCTTAGAATTTTTAGCAGATTGCCAGAGCTCTTTTGCTTTGCTACGAATTTTAATATTAGAATGAATCCATTTTTTATTAGGTTTGAAAAGGTTTTAGACAAATTAGGATAGCCATTATAGTCAGTGAAATTACTAATTTCATTATCTAAATAATTGGTTTGTCGCTCTAGGTAAATTTTTTTTGCACACTTTAGACAAATTAGACAGCCTAGAGTTAAATTCCGAACCACTAACAAACATCCATACCACCACCATGATTCGAATTTGAAGCCTGTGGTACCAAAGGCCAGGGCGCTAGCCAATTTGCCATCAAGCCGCTTTAAATCGTTGTTAGTTAAAAGATAGGAAGGATAGTAAAGTTAACCGAGTTTCCCAACGTTTTAATAAAAATATCCCAGTCTGTTTTAATGATCAGACAGTATGCGAAATTTCTTATACGAAATTAACGGAGATTTTAATCGAGTTGTCATCGAAATTAAGTTTGGATATAGAAGAGATTTCGTATGGATAATGAAAGTTTTTAACCACAGCAAGATCAGGAGCTAAAACCACAACGCTTGTGAATGAGAGGAGCTAAAATTTCAATCACAGTAAGATTACACAAGTTAAGAAGATTGATTCCTCTAAAACAACTTTAGTGCTTTTGAGTGGATGGCTATTTCTGATGCTGTAAAATGTCCTGATACTTATGAAGATGCTTCTATTAGTCCTCCAGGAGTAACTAGTGAGAGAGAAATGTTTGATGTTTTCGTGACAATGGCTGTAACACCCCACAATTTTGTGGTAAAATTGTTATTTTATGATATAAATGTATAGATGTAAGGCTTTCCTAATGTTTATGCAATTATAATTGCAATTCCAAGTTGCGTGCTTGCTATATAAAGCAACATTTTGGGGTGAATTGCATCAGATTTGCTAAGCATATTGTAAAAAGAGAGTTACGACGGCGACAACGATTTTTCAGGTTGACGGAAAACCCTGATTGCATAGCAACCTCTATCTCCTGCTTTGTGAATGGGAGAAGCTTCTTAAGCTTTAAACCCATTGATCAGATAGAAAAGGAGTAATATAGGCATATTTTTAATATTAATATTATTATAATTTTTGAGTAAGGAATAAAAGTTTAAAAAAAGAAAAAAAGTAATAAAAGGTAATAAAAATTGAAGTGGAAATCAATATAAGAGAAATAAGTAAGAGCATCAAATTATTATATATAAAAGGCTAGCTTCAAAAGAATGTAAATGATGATAATACAAAATTTGATAAAACAAAATGAAAATAGTGAAATATAATAACAAAATGAAAATAATAAAATGTCCTTGTATAATGATACAAGGTCAATTGCAGCCAGAAAGATCCAAGACAGACAATTGCAGACAGAAAGATATTAAAGAGAGTTATCAGAAGGTGGGATTTAAAGAGAAGCGATAATAACTGATTCCTAGTTAGATAAATGTAGTTAAATAATAGTGTCTTCGATATAATTTAAATGGAGGGTAAGAATATGATGATAGGGAATAGAACGCTCCACAAAAATAGTCTGACAATTAAGGGAAATATTCCTATCGTTTCTGAGATAGTTGTAATCAGCAATATTGAAATTTTTATCATCATTAAGGAATTTTTTCTTATACTAATACAATATCCAGATTTTGTTCAATCATAAAGTTATTAAATTCAATTTTATTACAAAAACTACTTGCATTCAGGAAATTAAAATTAAATTATTTTTAAAACGAGACATTAATAAGATTTGTAAGAGGGGGCTGGGGGAAAAGATCTAAATGGGTTTATAGCATGCGATTTGAATGTCTGGGATAACAGAGCAGATTTTTCGATGGAATGCCTTTTTAGGTAAATCCCACTTCTTAGTTCTAGTCTTTATATATCGTTTGTTCCATTGAATAGATCTACGTCAGTAGTCCTAGATCACCGAACATATGGAGAACGTCTGGGGCCAGATTGACTACAGCGGTAGATTTTTCCAGGATCATTAAAACTAATTGGGTATTTATGAGGGGGTTAGATCACCGAAGTCAAGCACCATTGGGCGCGGTCAGTACTTGGGTGGGTGACCACCTGGGAACACCGCGTGCCGTTGGCATTCACAAATTTGGAACCTGAATGGCCGAGCGTCTAGCGCTCGGTGCCACAGGTTTCGGGTTCGAATCCCGGCGGTGCCATGGATGCTTGTAGTGGTTCGGAATCCACTTTAAGCCGTAGGTCCCGGTCTCTTATGACTGTAAGAGCGTTACGGAGCAGAAAGTCAACCTACGGGTGCTCCATCAGAACAGAAGCTGCACACCTCTCCCCTCCTTCCGTGAGGGACACGACAACATGGGGTGGGTGGGTGGAAAACTATGTCTTGCAGATATGCTGGCGCCGCTCTCCTGCAGCTATCAGCTTTAATAATATTCTACATCACTTGTGGCTTAGCAGCCCTATGGTGGGGCAAGGCAGTCTACCACCTGGGAGATTTCGAAATATGAAATGTTTTCTTTTAGGGTTGTCAGTCCTACGCCCAACAGTCATGTTAGACTGAGACCTACGGTTTAAAGTAGATTGCGAGTCACTACAAACATCCATGGCGCTGCCGGGACTCCAACTCGAAATCTATGGCACCGAGTGCTAGTCACTCTGCCAACAGGCCCCAATATCCTGCATACATTTTAATAACATCAAAATTTGATCTGTTTAAAAAATAAAGAAAAGTAATGTTGATCGCTCGCAAAGTGTCTTGTTTCAGGGATCCTAGCTATAGAGCGCCTTGTCCCCTATCGTTTTGCTAGGGGATAAGAGGCACACAAAAAAAAAAGGAATAAAATAAGCATTTCCTGCAGAGCGAACAGCTTCTTATTCGAGATAGAGAGACCAATCTCTAGGTCATTAAGACAGCAAGTATTCCTCTGCGGGAGGGGGACATGCATCCTTCCATAAAATTTTCTTGTTTTAAATTTCCTATTTACACTAGCATTTTAAAGTTTAAAATATATATGCATCTGAAAGAAAGAAAAAAAAATCATTCTTGTATGTTTTTCTTTTCTATAATAATTTGAAGTATTTGCAACAATATTTAAAAAAAAATTTAGAAATTTAAATAGAATTAAAAAAATTTAGTAAAGAAAAAAATTATAGAATGGTTTGAAAATTAAGATATGACAATATTGTTATTTATCATATCTGCAATCAAGACCTAGCTGAAAATCTGTATACAATAAAAATATATATATACACTCAAGAGCCAAAACATTATGACCACCCCTACATTTTACAATGAACTCGCCTGGACGACGTGGAAGGCACGTGATCAGGTGGAAGTGGTATTTAACTGGTATTAAGTGGTGGTATTAATCCATGCCAAGGCGAGGTTGAAGCTGTGTTGCGCGCCAAAGATGGGCCAACTCGTTATTGACAGGTAGTCATAATGTTTTGGCTCTTGAGTGTATATATTGTCGTTCTAATGCAACTGGCAAACACGTAGACAATTGTCTTGGATGCCTAAGGCAAGCGCTACACTGACGTTACTCACTTAGCACACTACCCAGGAGGTGCGTGTAGCTTGAAGATAAGTTACAGAGCGGAGTAACAATACCCCCTCAAAGCTCTACGATCATGTTAGACCGGAACCTGCGCTTTAAAGTGGATTCCGAACTATTACAAACATCCATGGCACCGCCAGGACTCAAACTCGAAACCTGTGGTACCGACCCTTGCAAGTGAAATATAGGAAGGATAAAAAAATCTTAAAATCCCACATAAGCTTTAATTTGAATATTTGAGGAAAATCTGAATACAAAATATATATACAGCAGATCCAGAGGCATTGTGAATTCTATCATTCTATTTAATTTAATTCCAAAGTTTTGAATAATGGAACACAAACTGATATTACACTAACTTTGTATATAGTGAATACAATGGAAGACCCTTAAGTGTTCTGCTTATTGGTATTGTCAACCATTTTAATTTTAGTTTTAAGTTTTATACACATTTAGAAAAAAAAAGTGAATACATGGTTAGTAATTTTTCAGCCTTTTACTTTTTGAGAATATTAGCACATATTTTTAAAGTAAAAAATAGGAATACAATTTACATGCAAATGTCAATATTAGTATAAACTTCTATAATGTTAATATTTACACCATACAGGGCCTATATATATATATATATATTGATTAATCTAATTAATATATTAAAAACTATTCATTAATTTGAAAGCAGTTATTTAAAACTTTCAGATTTTATTGCCATAATCATTTGCAATTTTTAAAATTATAACCAATTTGAAAGCTATCCTACTTTTTAATAATATACTATAGAAATCTGTTATAAAAAGAGAAACATTTTTAAGAATTAATGATGGTTTAGATTTTTTAAAAATTAAACCCAATTAAATAATAACTTAGATAATTAATAGTTTATCATGACTGAATTAGTAAATTAACTTAATATTTTAATCTACATAAAAGTGATTACTTAATAAGAACAACTAAAAAGAGTTAATGAAAATAAATTTTATTTCATTACAATACAAACAAAACAATGTATGTAGCAAATAATTTATGAAATGTTTAAATATATGAGAAAATTCTTTTTTTTTTTTTTTCATTTGATGAAGTAAATTGAAAAAGATGAATGATTGTGTTGATGAATTTAGGATTTTACGGCAGCACTTTTATTTAAAAATTCTTTGCTCTGATGAATTAAGGCACCATGGTCCAATTGAAAATTACATAATGCTTTTAAAGGTGAAAGTAATACCTAAAAATTGAAAATTAAAAACTGATATAATTATTAATTCTTACAAATGAAAACTTAATGCAAAAATTGTATCACATACATATTGTGTGTGCATAAAAAAACCCACTGACTTATAACACAAAGTCAATAAAATAGAATTAAGTAATTATTTAATAAGAGCTTCATTTAATTTAAACATTAAACAAATGAAAACACAAGAAAGAAAAATCCACTTTTATTCACTATATTTTTGGCAGGTTCTTTAAATCAAAAAATTAAACTTTATTTTCCCATTGATGAATTGAGGGGTTTTCCAGAAATATAGGAGCTTGTTTGCCCGGCTTATGAGTTGCATATGGCCCAACACTATTATGCATACAGTTCAACATGAAATAGCACATTTTTAAAAAAATTTATTCTTATGTACTCAACATATTTATATTTTGAATACTAAAATAAATAACAAGTTTTCAATTAAATTATATACCAAACTATATTTTTTATTTTTACATCTTATCATTTCTTATTTCAGTGATAAAAACTTCTCAACTGGCTAAATTATTCAAAAGGGCCTTATATGAAAAGAAAACTAAGTTAGAATATATTTGTTCAGATTATAAATTTTTTTGCTTAACCAATTAATAATATTTTAAAAGTTCAAGAATTTTTTTTTTTCAAATTGACTTTAAATGTGTTAAAAGAATGGTCTTCCTGATGTAACCCACATTCATGAAGAGCTCTCCTTTAAGTACTTGCAATCAATGATTTTCCAAATGTTTGGAGGATATCTTGAAATTTTGACAGAACTAACAGTTGGATTCACTTTAACTCTCTTATTTCTAGTGCTGAATATCTTCAATCTTTTTACTATTAGCAAGTTCATCAATGAACAGTTTGATTATATTATGATTTCTTTTTAACAATTTTTTTTCATTATGACTTTCCTTTTCACTTCACACTAAGGATTCAATAGATTGAATTAATTAACTTTTTAATTTTTTAGAAAATTTTAAAAAAAATTATTTTCAATGAAAGTTAGAAGAAAAGAAAAGCCCATTTTGATTTCCTTTTTACTTAATTTTGTATTATTACTTTATATTATAAGAGAATAATATATCTGCAAAAAACATTTAGTGCATTTAAAATAAGTGTCTATATCTATTATTATTATATATCTTTTGATTCTTACAGCACATGCCGAAACACATAATACAACGTAATGATTAGGTTAAGAATCATATCTATCTATAAGAAAGCTATTAATATCACTGAATTACAAAACTAGTGTTAAATATGAAAATATTAGGCATTTAATATTACAAAATATGTATGTAATATTAAATATCTAAATATATTAAAAAAAATATACATAATATTTTTTTTTTAAAACTACTTATATCTATACAAAGATGGTTGAGTGAAACAATTAAGAATCAAGTAATTGAAAAAGATTAATCATGATAAATTTATAAAAATATGTTTTAAAGCTTCATTTTAGTTTATTACGTGTAATTTTATAAAATATACTTCTCAAGACTTGACATCCTTGAAGAATATAATTCTATTGTTGCCTATTGCAAAAGAAATACCATTCTTATATATTTCTACAGCATTACGATCCTAATTACTGTTTTAAATTAATATTACAGTAATAAAAACACTGATTTAACTTTTATAATTTTCTTGCATAAATTAGAAGATAATCTTATAATTTTCAATTTTCATGAATATACTATAATTTTCCACTTATAATGCACAGCCATAATTTTCAGCAGCAAAAAATAAAACATCTGGCATAATTCATAGCAGAAAACAATCTGCTGATATTTGCACATAAACAATTTTTTTTTTGTTAATGAGTTCGATTTTATTACTCAAAGAAAATATTTTAAATAAACTTGTTTTAACTTTAAAAGCATTTTTAGAAACAAAAATAATACTTTATTTAAGATAACATAGTTATAAAAGTATATATCGGGCATATTCCATGAAAATACAAGCAAAAGAAAAAAAAAACTTTTTATATTTCTGAATGCAAAAATCAATTGAAAAAACACTAATTAAAATTCAAAATATTTAAAAGGATCATATTTACAAATAAATCTTACAACATATAATTTTTATATTTGTAAAAGAGATGAAAATCTCGATGAATAACAGTCAATCAGTATCACAATTTCATCAATTAACTTTGAAATAAGGATTTTTTAGGAATTAATATTTAATAATATTTTCATGAGGAGGAGGGAATCCTACATTGTAAACAGAGAAAATAAACCTATTTTTTTCTACCTAATTTGTATAGTCCTGCTTGATTAATGTTTTTGACAAATTTCATTAAATTTCAATGAAAAAAAAAT